ACCTTCAGCCGCCGCGCAGCAAGACGCCCTAAACCCTAAACCCTAAACCCTAAACACTAAGACCTAGACTGTGCTACACATATGTGCACATACACACACAGACCTTAAACGAATCGGATGCTGCCCCCACCCTATGACAGTCGCAGTCGGAAGCCTAAATAACATGAGGGGACTGCTGATTAGGGGCCGGAGGGCGGTATCCAACTTAAAACACTTCAAAAAATGACCCCAGATCCTTTTTTGCATCTGGACTCCCGCGGGCTCTGGAAACGAAACCCGGAACGCTAAAACCTTCTTTCTGGCCCAAATGCCATTGTCTCTGATTTGCTCCATGGCATTGGTGCGATATGTTAGTGCCGCCAACGTCTGCATAAGAGGCCTGGGACACCGTTCTGGTTTGTAGGGATAGGTTGGTGGAAAATCAATAGCAGGAAGCGCACTAAGCTTAAGGAAAACATCTAAAGACTTCTAAGGGCCTGGATACGATGTGAGCCAAGTGTAATTTGTAAGTGGGGGTCCCTGGGCGGTGTCGGGCATTATAGGTTTAGGGTTTCGGGCTTTATGGTAATGGCTGACTGCAAGGATCCGCGTTTTGAGTTAAGTTCGAGCAGCAAAAACCCTTCCCCTCAACCCAAAACCCACATACACCTTAAATCCTACGAGTATCAGCAGTAAACTGGCTGACATCTAAAACATCCGAATGCTGGACCCCAACAGCAAAGATTGGGGTGGTAATACCCAACAAGAAGACAGCAGAATCAGACGACATAGGAAACAGATTCCGGTATTACTGACCTCCCAGTAAGTAAACTCAAAAGCAGGAGCCAAAAGCTGTTGCTTCACAGGCGGGTCACTTTTCGGAGAGCAGCAGCAAGGACGTGCCGCTGTCGAGCATTCCAAATCCAGTTAATTCCTTGGATCATGGTTGTGGTTGCATTTAGGGCTTCATCTCTTGCAGGATAAGGTGTGGGATTCATCGATACTCGGTCTGTGGGCTTAGGGGCCTGCGGCTGAGGCTTCAAGGGGTTTTGGCCCCTGCCCCCCACGGGGTTGAGGCTCGTTCTCAGGTGTCTGGACATATTGAGCAAAATATCAAATTTAAGTCTGAGAAGATTCGACCAACCCTAAACCCTAAACGCTAGCAACGTGCGATGACCATAAATTGATTTGCCCGGCCTAGGGTTTCAGAGGTGGGCACGAATAGGCGCAGGTGTCACTTGAGCCTACCCAGAGAGTCCATGTACCCAATAAATTACTAGGTACTTGGGATTTGGTTAATGATCATGTTGGTATGGGTTTTGGGTAAGTATATGATTATTAGGTACTTGGACGCTTAGGGTTAAGAGACAATCCTGGACAGGAAGGCATGGTGGAAAACGCCTATTCGCCATGGCCGAGTCTTCGGCCCAACCATTCTAACAGGTTGTTAGTCCCGGGGCGGGGTTAAAAAGGGGGCATGTAACCTAGTAATCCGCAATGCTACCTGCACTCCCAAACCTTCAGGCTCAAAAGTGATAGTTATGATATACTCTCCAAGACCGGAATAACGAGCACCAGAATAAGAGTCCTAAAATATATCTCAGTATTGTATCCTGGACCCTCTGGGAAAAGCTAAGGCTACCCAGTACGTACCCTCCCTTGCAGCCAAGCCGTCTAGTAATCACTCCAACCGCCCATCCACCAGGGACAAAGCACGGAATGCCTTGAAACCCTGCGCTACCTAGGTCCGTAACTCCCCAACCACTACGGAAACTTAGAGGTGGGGGGTTGCCAGGCGTGCATCCTCTCATAAAGATGATGCAAGGCTTATCTGCGGCAAACTACCCTACTGAAAGTCCCTCAGAAGCTATCCCCCCAGGTTCCTGAACCCTAAACCCTCTCCATCCAAGTTTCCAACTGGATGTTAGATGGCGCTTCCACCACCGGTCCCTTCACACGAAGGTCCATTGGAACCATCCAGAACAAGTCGACCCCAGGGTATCTGGGCCAACAGCTTGCTGGTTTAGGGTTCAGGGAATAGTTTGAAGAAGTTGGAGCTGTTTTTTTTCCATGGCAGGGGTTCAGGTTTGTTACTATGGTAGCTGATGTTAAGCTCCTATTCGCAGCAGAAAAGTTTAGAGTCTAGGTTTTTATCGCCAAGCCTATAGACAGGAGCTTGCACCCCCGAAAAAAGGGACCTTACATCATGGTCACGGATTATGATGGGAGCCCAATAACAAACCCGTATTATAAATGGAACCCAAGTCCACAAGTCCCTGTTCTGGGCTGGTGGCTTTTTCTCCTGAAGCATTTGGGCCCTGGCTGCTGAACGCGACCATAAACCCTAAATTCCAAACCCTGAGCTCCAAACCCTAACTTCCCGCATTCCTGATCTGTACCATGATGGGTCCTCTAACCCACGCCGCACCGAAACCGCCCTACACCTTAATTAGGTCAATCCCCGCAACAAGAATAGCCCGCAAATTTGGAGTTAATAAGGCCTGAACATACCTACAAGAATCCTTAGGTTGTTAACATTGGGGTCCATTTAAGCCCCAATTATAGTGGGGCCCAGAGTATGTAAGGTACCCAACAAGGCACCATAATTTTGACCACCTTTTCATGGGGACTGCACAAAACTAAACCCTAAACCCTAAACCTTAAACCCTAAACCCCGAACCCTAAACCCTAAACCCCAAACCCTAAACCCTAAACCCTAAACCCATGACAGTAGTTTCCATTTTCTTTTCCATTATCCCATCTAGCAGTCATCCTAAGGCTCGGAGAGGTGTTGCTTGTTGAGAAGCTCCCTTAGCTTCGAGCCCTGGATCCTAAGGCCCCAGAACCGAGTAAGTTCGGGTTTAGGGTTTAGGGTTAGGTTTTTAAGGGTTTAGGTTTTAGGGTTTAGGGTTTAGGTATTAGGGCAGAAAATTGGCAAATGCAAAAAAAACATGTCGATCCAGAAGCACTCCCAACCTGAACGCTGTCTCTCGAGATCCAAAAGAGCTGTAGTCTAAACTCCTAGTATCCCCCTTAGTGAGCCTACAATACTCCCCTATATAATCCACCATAAAACCCCCCTTTATGGAGTTTAGACAACAGTTCAAGTGGCCCAAAGGTGTCATTTGTAGGCTTTAGGGCCCAAAACATTCTGTTGTTGCGGACTTGACGGCCTGTAGAACCCCTATAATCCTACAATTCCTATATACCTCTATATTATATGCCACCCTAAACCGTAAACCCTAAACCCTACAGCACATCTTATTTGTACACTTGGATTCCCCGAGCCCTAGACCTTAATCCCTATTAATCCCTATATATCCCCACATGAGCTATAGATAGTCTAAAGTCCTTAAAAAGGGATTATCTAGGGGAGCATTTTTGGGCTTATTTTATTAAGAGGGATACTAGGAGTTTAGACTATAGCTCATATAATCCCGATACAACTCCTAAATAGCATGTATGAGAGTTGCCGAAAACCATGGATCCATTTTTGGGCGTCCCCAGTGTAAGATTTATGGTATCTTGGGGTCTATTTCAAGGTCCCTCTATTTAGGGAAATTTCCATAGACCCTTAACCCTAAGCCCTAAACCCCAAAATCCTAAACCCTAAACCCTAAGCCCTAAACCCCAAAATCCCTTTCTGGGTATAAACCATGACAGGAAGCCCTGCGCGGAGTTGGCTCACTGTTTCAAGTCCTTGGACCTCGCACGGGTTCAGGGCTTTGGGGGGGTCAGGGGGGGGAGGATTTAGGGTTTAGGGTGTAGGGTTTAGGGGTTTAGGGTTTAGGGGCTTAGAGTTTAGGGGTACTTGGAGGCCCGTGGGACTGGGTAATTAATTACATGGTGTTGTAACCTTACTTATACTTAGGGGAACCTGCATAAGTCCAGCTAAGGGCATTATGGATATTTCACCCCCCGAGACCTATCAGAAACGGTTCCTAGGGCATCTACTACAGTAAAGGCTCACACTAATTCCTAAGGGATAGGAATTCACAAGGGGCTCTAGGGTTTAGGGGCTGTATGGCTGTAGGGTTTAGGCCTTTGCAATTGTAGAGTTGGTCTGGGGGTTTGGGGGTCCAAGGTTTATACGGTTCAAGGCTCGGAGGTCGGGGTCCAGGTTCTCTGGGAGTTCGGAAGTGAAACTAGAAGACAGATAGCAAAAGGCCCAGGCCAGCGTTCATAGCCAGAAGCCATACTTCTACCCTAAAGCCTCCAGCTCAACCTTAATCCCTACCTGAACCTCAAAAGTTGGTAAAATAATAGCCCAAAACCCCTAAACATAGCCCCGACCTCAATACGCCACAGGCATCTAGCAGGCGGGGAATCAGGAGCAAACCGGCCTCGAAGACTACATCAGAGGACAAAACTTGCATAGATTCCCCAAAGCATCCTTGCCCTGAGGGTCCATGAACCCAATACTAGGGTTCAGGGGTTTAGGGTTTAGGATTTAAGTCTCAGGGTTTACTTTGATACTTCAGATTTTCGCAGTAAGAATCGGAATGCGGGCCTTGGGGAAGCATATGAGCTGTAGTCTAAACACAATCTCCATGAATGAGCCCTGTCGCAGTTCCCAATGTGATCCCCTGTCTAGCCCCTTGATAGGAGTTTAGACTATCTCTCCCATGAGCTACAGTCATTGCTTCCCAGATAATTACTGGACATGGGTTCCTGATTAGTATTATATATATTCGGGACTATACTAAACTACCCAAAGGACCCCTATGTTCACCCTTAAGGGTTCCTTGGTAATGCTAATGTTGACAATAGCTCATATACTCCCTACAGACCCCTACATACTCCCAGCTTCCATTTCATCTTCCATTTTCTTGTCCATTTGATTCTCCATTATTGGTGTACTATCCCTAAACCCTTAACCCTTATCCCAAACCCTAAGACATCCTCAGGGTTTCTCCATGGCCAAACAGCGAGGAAAACACTTGGCAACTTTACGATTTAGGGTTTAGGGTTTAGGGTTTGAGGTTTAAGGTTGAGGGTTGAGGTTTAGGGGTTCAACTGGCTCACGTCCTTAAACGAAAAGAACATCTAAAAATCACCGTGTGGCAACCATCCTGGTATGGATCATTATCTTCCTGGTTTAAGAGCCCCTTTTTCTTCTGCCTACTGCAAGAATCTAGAATTTAAGCAGTATCCTTTTGAGGTGTTTGACGTACCCTGTACTCTAATTGTACAAGGAGCCGAAGACCAAATTGTTGCTAATTCTTTCAGGCTTCTACAGTACCCCATTTCTAATCTTCGCAACAGGCTCGGAAAACAGCATGCCATATCTTTAGATGGTGCCCGAGAATGTCTAGCGAGCAGCTGAGCCCTACCCCTAAATCATCCTAAATCCTAAGCCCCAAACCCTAGACCCTAACCCCTAAACTCTAATCCCGAAACCCTAAATCCTAAGCCCTAAACCCAAGATCCCGGTTTCCGTATGGCTCCGCTTTAAGCAGCTCGCCTCGACAAGGTACCAGTCTCCAGCTCTGAAACCCTGTCGAGTTTAGGTTTAAGGGTTTTAGGGTTTAGGGTTCTAGGGTATAAGGTTTTAGGGTTCTAGGGTTTAGGGATCTAGGGTTTAGGGTTCTAGGGTTTAGGGTTCTAGGGTTTAGGGTATAAACCCTAAACCCCTTAACAACTTCAACCCGACGAGAAGGCCTTGAGTGTCAATCCTTGGGCGCCTGCTTGCTTTTCAGCAGCCTGCAACATTCACCGGGCTTGGTGGACTCCTAAGATTTTTGTGTGTGTTTTTTTAATGGTTTCATGTAGGCTTTCAGGTGGAGTCTGCATGTAGGCTTATAGGTGGATTCTTAGCTTAGGATTTAGGTTTATTCTCTCTAGAAAACCTTTTTGAAATTATGGTTGTGGGGCTTATGGCTTATGGAGTTTAAGGCTTAGGCCTGGTTTTTGAGAGGGCAGCTGACTGAAATTACCCTGGGGCTCCGCCTCCTCTGTGTGCTCCCGTCGCACTACTCTGGAGGGTGCTGGGTATGGGGGGAGGTACTTCAAGGGCCCAAATAGGATGTAGTTTGGGCCCAAACCCTAAACCGCCTAAACCCTACATCCTACCTAGAGACTTGGATCCTCAGGAGAAATTAGGAATCTCTGAGAACCTAGAAGCCCAGGGGAATTTGATGTTTAGGGTTTAGGTACTCACCCGCCTGCCATCCATCCTCCTTTAACCAACTATTCATGGGTTCAACTAGTACCCCCCTCTATACTACCCCCGCCCTAGGTTCCCCCTTAATTGACCTTAATTAACCCTAATTATCCCTAAATAACCTTAATTAAGGGGGGAACCTAGGGGGGTTAGCCTAAACCCTAAACCCTAAACCCATAAACTATGGTAAGTCAGTGCCGTATTCATGGCCTCAAACATTGCAGGTGACGACTGCAATTGGCTCAAATTTCTTCACCCAGAAATCCATGTGAGCTATAGTCTAAACTCCTTAAAGGGGGTTATATAGGGGATTATATAGGGGACTACTATAGGGGTTATTTAGGGGGATACCAGGTGTTTAGACAGTGGCTCATGTAGGTAGCCTTCATAGGCTTTAGGGCCCGGCCTAAGTCTTACTTACTTGTGGATCTCCAGGGTAAAGGATTCAGAAAGTCTTCAGGAATCCATGAATGGAGGACCGGAATTCTTTCGAGTTAGGGCAACAGCACAGAGATCACTGCTGGTTAGAAGCTGGACATGGAATCCTTTAACCAAATCCCGGACAAACATGCCAGTTACGGGTTCAGTGCGGAAGTATCCCTAAAACCTAAAACGCAACATGTGCAGAAACCGGAGTCTACCCTCTCCCCCCAAAGTACTGGAACCCCAACGAGGATCCTGGGAGATAAATTATAGCGACTGTCCTTTCAAGAATGTGCTTTCTGGAGTTTCAAAATCCGTTGAGGGAGAGAACCTAGGGCCTTAGAATCCGAACCACCTCAATGTATCCCAAGCAAGGTTTTGCCGCTGAAGCCCAAACACTTGTCTTGAAGTGCTAAACCCAGAGCGGAACCCCTGATCTACAACAACAGTAAGTCAGTCCCATTAAGCCCCGATGCAGACGTACCTACGGGTACTGCCCGACCCAGCAAAAGTTGCAGTAGAATGACAACGTGAATATATGAGGCCTGAAATACTAAAGCTAGTCCGACTACATAGACTGCTACTGGGTGGGGACAGCGCCCGACAGATCTGTAGGAAAAACTGACAATGAAACACCATCCAAACTGAAAAGCCCAGACTCCTGCCTAAACCGCAAACACTAAAATGTTACGAGACTTTTAGGAACACTATGGATGCATGTGGATTACAAGCTTTTTAGTTGGGTGAATAAGATATGTTGGACATCCTCAGCTTAAACCTCGAACGACAAGCCCTGAACCCCGGACCCAAAACAGCAAACCAAACAAAATGCAGACTCTGAACCCCACCCGAAAACGAAGCAAAAAACAAAACACACACAAACAACTGCCTGAATAAGATCGTCCACTTCCCCCAGCGAGAGAGCGCTGACTCCGTGGGCGCCACGGAGGCAAAGAGCGAAGCCCAGGTTTGCGTAGCTGCCTCTGAACTTACAAGGGTTTAGGGTTTAAGGTTTACCTAAACCCCAAAAGTATGTAAAATAATAGCCCTAAACCCCGAATAACAGCCATAAAGGCCATTATTTTACATACTTTTGGGGTCCAGGTAGGGCCTGTAATCTCAAGGGTTCTATCAGAAACCCCCCAAGTACCCCTTCAAGGGCTCCATGTAGGCCATATTTGTGGGCACGTGGGCTCTAGAGGAAGTATTTGTGGGGCCTCGGTGGCTTCAGGGCTCAGGGGTTCAGCGCTTTAGGATTTGGGATTTGGGGGTAGGGGATGTTTGCCTTCTTTTTCTGCTCTACTTTTGCGTCTTCTTACATTATTCGGTAATGTCAAGTGGAATTCTACACCGGCATCGCGCATGCACAAAACCTAGGAGTTGTGTTTCAACAGCAACTCGGCCCTCATGACCTAACTTGAAGTCGACTGCGACTATGATGACTATTCCTGTTTCTTCTTTCGAAAGAGGGCTTGGGGTGGGGCCGTTTTGCAAGGAGGTACATGGACCCTAAACCCAAAACGCCACAGGGAGGAGGCAGCAGAGTCGTAAACCTTCAGCTTCACTTGTAAAGTTCAAAGGTCTTGAATTCGATCGAAGGTCAGGGATGGGAAGGCATATGAGCTACAGTCTAAACTCCTTGAAGGGGATTATATAGGGGATTTCATAGGGTAGTATTGTAGAGGGTTTTAAGGAGGATACTATAGGAGTTTAGACTATAGCTCGTATGAAAGAAAATGTGCCCGAGGCTTCCATCTCCAAAACTTGCAAGGATGCGAGGCGCAATCACTTCCCACCACGCGCACCCCAGGGTGCTACAAGGCTAGCAATCCAGGAAATATGGCTGGATCTGATTTAACATTACTGGGGTATAGAGCACGCTGCATTCCACCTCATTTATGACATTGGAGACTTAAGTGTAGGACCTCGGGACTTCAACATTCTCTGAGAGGCGTTTAATTTAAGCTTCTACGAGATCTTGCGGGTGTTCGAGCTGCGTCTCCTTCATTGATGACGGCTATGCGCACTCGAAACAACATTGACTCAGCTGTAGGTTTAGAGGGCGGGCTGAACCCCAAACCCTCCCTATAGAGGTGGTCCATGCATCTTGGACATGCAGCAACCACGGTAATTGTCCTTGAAGGAGTATTCAAGATCCCCACTTGCGTCTTATCCTATCTTTGTGATTTAGCCCTTGGGATCCAAATGGCCCAATGTAGGTAATAGTTTCTGTCTTTGTGGCTCATTGTAAATATTATTTGTATACTTGGATCCCTAGGGTAGGGTTGAAATATAACCCTAGTATAACCCATTATAGTGGCTTCCATTTCATTTTCCATTATCCCAATGGAATCCCAGTATAATCCCAATGGGTGGTTTAGGGTTTGCGGCCCTAAACCCTAAACACTAAACCCTAAACCATAAACCCTGAACCCTAAACCCTAAACCCTTGGGATAAGCCCAATCTGGGACAACGCTTGAGAGATGCATGGGCCAATTTTTCTGGAAGCCCCAAGTTGACCAGGGTTTAGGGTTTAGGGTTTGGGGTTTAGGGTTTTGCTGTTCGCAGGCCCTGCATCCAAAGCGGTGCTCCGTATTGACTATATGATGCCCCTTGATCACCTCCTTGTGAGCTATAGTCTCAGCTCCATAAAGGGGGTTATATAGGGGATTATACAGGGAAGTCTTATAGGGGTTACTGCGGGGGATACTAGGAGTTTAGACTATAGCTCATGTTTGAACATCTTGTAGGAAGCTCAGACGTCTGCAACGGCATTTTCACTGAAGTCAAATGTCTACTAAGTCCATTTTCCTCGGGCATGCTAATGTGATTTTTCAGAACGTCAAAACTTGCTTGCCATGTGGGATTTAAGGGTTAGGGGGTTTTAGGCTCATGGTCAATCCGTATGCAGGCCAATGCAGAAGCAACCTCAACTGCCAGTGAGCCCCAAATCTCCACTCAAACCCTCAGCCGTACCTTCCAAACCACGAAGGAACCCTAAACCCCTGAACCCTAAACATCTAACCCCTAAACGCCTAACCCCTAAACCCTAAACCCATGAACCCTAGAACCCACACCCCCAACCTTGATGCTGCAACTGCTGAAGAAAGGTCATCCGGCCTGAAACTTGACGTGTCAAGATATCCGATATCCGGACTGCTTGGAGGGGCATAAGCTGTACCAAGACCCTGTCCATTTCCCCCAGGGCCTATGTACCCAACATTTGGGTACTGGAGAATTTGGTACTAGGAATTGTGGTACAGGCTTTGGGCAAGTAACTGGTTATGAGTACTTGGACCCTTAGCTTACTGCGGGTTTGTGAGGAAGAAGGGAATATATTGTCCAGGGGTTATACAGGGATATATTCCCCTATTCCCTAGTAACCACCAGTACGTTAGGGTTTGGGCTCGTAGGAAGGACGAGCCGACGAATGAATGGGAGTAGCGTAGCAAGGTTCAGACACTTGGAGGGTCAGGGGGGCCTAGTAAATATGCAATAGCCCTAGTTAGGCTTTAGGGTCTAGGGGTTCAAGGTTTAGGGTTGGGGGACATAGCCAGTATTCTTATATCCCCCATAAGCCCTGCAAGAACCCAGTTGCCCCTTTATTAACCCAAATAGTATTAGTAAGCCCCGCTGACCCTCCAAGTAATCGCTTGGACCATATGAGGTTGAGAATTCTTCCAAGTCCTCAACCGGCAAGCCCGAAGTCAGGTCCCTGGTATCCAGAAAGCTTACCGGGGCTCAGTAGGGATTGAGGGAATATAATTTCCATATAGTCAGTATGGTATATGTGAGTCTATTCAAGGAGAATGGAAAAGAATATGGAAACTACTATAGGAACAGGATAGATTTCTCGGGATCGTCATCGGCCTGCTGCACCTAGGCCACATCTATATGAGCCATAGCCTAAGCTCCTTACAACGGGGTTATATAGGGGATCAGGGCTTAGGGTTTAGAGTCTAAACTCCGTAAAGTGGGGTTACATGACGGTTATAATATGGGCGAATATTATGGAGCTATTACTGGGGATACTAGGAGTTTAGACTAAAGCTCATATTGCCTTCATTGCCGTGTTTGTATGACTAGCGTCTTGGGTAAATACTGCCCGCGCACGAACAGGCTTCCGTAGGTTTAATATTAATGGCTCATTATGATTAGTCTTTAATCCAATGGTTACAGGGTGGGGGGTGGTACGCAAACCACTCAGGGCCCTAAGCCCTAAACCCTTGATCCATTATCCTGAACCCTATGTTTGGTCGTTCCCTGTGGAACGAAAGGTTGGTCTGCAGCCATGCAACCCACGTCCAGCATCTGCGGAAAAGCCAATCCCAAAAATCCGTCAAAGTCCCTGAGTCGGGTCTGTCTTTCTCTCTCTCTGAGCGTTCTAGAGTCCGGGCATCCACCAGGCAACTACCTACACAGGAAGGCATTGTCGGATTAAGTTCAGGGTTTGGGATTCAGTTGGAGTTCATGGAATAGTGCTTTTCTAATATAAATGGTTTACACTGAAGGGTTTAGGATCAAACTGTGGGTAGGGTGTAAGGCTTGCGTTCAACTCCCTTCACCAAACTTAGCCGAAAAGCCGAGGCAGAACCCTTTAAACATGCAGGCAGGCAACAACTTACTGGTGCTGAAGGGGACAGTGAGGGAGTGAATATAGGGACCATTATGGGGGTATATATGGGGATGATAATCTAAGGATCCACTCCCTAAGACAATGGTCACCGAAGGCCATTCTGTGTCCAGGCATAGTCAGTATGGGAATTTCGCCAAACAATGGGTCCCCCTTACATACCCCAAAGTAACATGTTGACCCCAGTAGACGTAGGATTTGGGTTTCCGGTAACATGACATGGGTTAAACATGTTGCGGTCACACTCTCTGGTCCAGGAAGACTAGCATCATGGACGCCTAGTAGCAAAATGGTTGATAGGAAAGGAAGACCTACGTTGAAATGTAGGGCTTCCTAGAGTCTAGTCGCTACATGCCCAAGCTCACCTTCCGCAGAACATCTACGATCCAAACATTCTGTAAGGAGTTGCGTGATAGTACAAATTGAAAATTAGCAATCGAGCTCTGTTTTGAGATACCCTGTACCCAAACTACAAGCAATCTAGGACCATGATATTCCTAAATGCCACATAAACCCAGAATCCGTGTATTTCAGCCCCTCATATATTGGTTTGCAAGACCCTTTGCTATCCCGACAATCTAAAACAAACTCGGCGTCGCCCTAAACCCTAGGGTATGTATGGTAAGCATCCTGGGGCCGGGTTTGGGGTTTAGGGTTTCGGGTTTAGGGGGTTTAGGCTTTATATCAGGGGTTATCTAGGGGTTATTATCCCCCTATAATGGAAAATCAAATGGAAAGACAATGGCAAATGAAATGGAACCTGGGGGAAATGTAGGGCTTTAAGGAACAACAAAGCTCGCATTGCCCTGAGTACCCTACAGCCCCAGCCCCAGGACTTATCCTGCTACAGTATACGGGACCCCAAGAAATATGCAGAATAATTCCTTTTTTGAGCTGGACGGTTTCTCGGTTTTAAGATTTAAGTTTTGGGCCATTGTTTTATCCAGTTTCGGGGGGCGCAGATAGAGCCCTACTCTGTAGATTCTCTCTCCCACTTCCGTGCCAAGAGGCTCGAGGTTTCCGATGTGACTTATCAGCTGGGCCAGGAGAAAATCCTCTCAGGGCTTCGGCCCTAAGCTCTTGCCCTTAGGAGGACCCCCCCCCACACTGTAATAGTGGAATAACAGGAATTTATGAGGGTCCTGTAATATAATCCTTATTATCTTTTATAGCCACTATTACTGGGTGGGGGATCCACCCAACCTAAAAACCACATCCCCTCAATCCGTTCTCCTGAACCTCGAAACCCCTAGTCCCTACATCAGGGGGTCCAAGGAGCCCTTATTTCCCCTCAAGAAAGGCCAAGTCATAGTATAGTCCCCCTTGAGTAGATAGAATATGGCTTTGGTTATGTTATAGTAAGATCCCCACATACCCCAGATTCTATCTAGTCAAGGGGGACTATACACGTACCTACTTGAAGCCCTCTCTTTTCTTGCAGAACCGAAGCGCCCTAAACAATGATTTCCATATTCTTGTCCACAATCCCTAGATAACACCTATAAAAGCTTCTATAAACTAAACCCTAAACCCTACACCCTAAACCAATAATCGTTTCCATTTTCTTTTGGTACCAACTTTGGGCTATATGGATCTTTACATCTGGGGGGTGACTTTCTGGCAACAACAGTAAGCCAAAACGAGGCTCTAAAGGCTCCTTGCACCACTTCCCTTGAGATATGGACCTATGAGTCGTATAAGGGAGGGGTTTAGGGTTTAGGGTTGAGGGTTTAGGATTATCAACCTCAACCTCAAAACCCAAGTCTCTTCGGCATGTGGACCACTGCGTTTTAAAACTCCGCCGTATTGCATCATCCCCGAACAAGGGCCCCGTTGCTCAACATGTCCTGAGGTGCTGTTGAGGAACTTAGATAAGGCTACCATAATATGACCTATAGTCTGTATTTCTAGTATCCCCCTTAATAGCCCCTCTAGTAGTCCACTATATAACCCCCTTGAAGGAGTTTAGACTATGTTTCTTATGGGTGTAGAGCGATAATGGGGTTTCCTTCTCATAGCATGTTAAAAATCCTTGCCTCCCTATCTAGCCTACTATATAAGCCATTAAAGAAGTTCCCATTTTCATTTCCACTCCAAGGCCTGCAACCCTACACATGACCCCGACTTCTATAGACCAAATCCCTCACCTGCACTCTGAACCCTAAACCCTACCTGTAACAGCAATGACCTACAGCTTTGTGGCCTATACTCGTAATCCCCCTTCAGTAGATAGAATATGGGGTATATGGGGATCTTATTACAATATACCCCAAGCCATATTCTATCTACTTAAGGGGGACTATACGTACTGAATAGCGGGCAATTGCTACTAAGTCGCAGACAACCAGGGTTTACATTACAGGTAAAACCTACAGGCCCCCAAATCCCCAAACCCAAAAGCCAAGACCCCTGAACGCCTTAACCCTAAAACTTGAAATCTCAAAACTCTAAAGCCTACACCAGAACCCTCAACCCTAGACATGAGCCCTAAATGCCTGGTGCTCTACGCAAAGATCTTGAAGGCATACTTGCCCTGACGCAGCCTTGCCAGAGACGTCCTGACCGACCGAAAACACTATTATACCGGGATATATAGGGATTTAGGGTTTAGGGCTGGGTAGTATAGTGATTTTGGGGATTACTTTGTGATGATATACGGATTTACTAGGGTTGTATGGGGAGTATATTACCCTAAAACCCTAAACCCCAAAATGGAGAATCAGATGAACCTGCAAACGGAAAATACACGGAAACTGGGTTTAGGGTTTGGGTCGTTCTGGCGGTTGCCATAAACAGGCGGACCTCAACATAGACCCCCAACACTAGAATCCTTATTTTAGCATATATCCTTAGTATAGGGACCCCCCCCTATATAGTAACAGCATCGGATTCGTACTTGGAGGGTCAGGGGGCGAACTTAGGAAGCAAGTGAAAACTGGAAACCGGTTGTAAGTATACTTCAGAGAAGCCCTAAACCGTAAGCCCTAGACCCCTGACCCTCCAAGAATGGATCCTAGTTTGCCAATCATGCATACTCTGGGCCCTTAAACCTAATTGTAAGTGATACCTACGCCCTAGCCCCTAAACTGCGCAGGCTTTTGTTATCCTAGGGAAAGGGGGGATTCTGATCATAGATCCTGTTGAATTTCTATATCCGGGGCACACAACATAGTGGTTACTTGAGGATACGTAGGAACAAAGGTTCAGGCTGAAGCTTACGGGTCCCATTTGGGCGGCAACCGTAGCTACGGAATATAGCATCTAATGGATCCTTATGAGAAAAAACGAAAGCTGCTTTTCCAAATGTGGTACCCTGTATCCCATACATAATCCCTATATAATATAGTAGTTTCCAACTTATTTTCCATTATCCCAATACAACCCCAAGATATCATTTCGTACTGAGGACCCCAAGCCCTAAACCCTATGGCTGTTGGAGCCCTTTGAATATCCCAAAGGCCAACCCCAAAAAAGTGATGGGCTTTCAGAAGCCTTGTGGGAGAGGCCTGTGTCATGTGCGCTTGGCAAACAAACCAGCAAGCCTACAGCCTCAACGAAGCATGACATGATTCTGAAAAAATCGCCCACATCAACCCCCACAGCGCGGTTTAGCGCTCAGGGTTTTAGGGCTTGGGTTTCAGTCAGGTCTAGGGTGCAGAGGACGTACCCAAACAGCCTGCATGCCCTCTGATTACCGTCACAGAGTGCGCACGGAGTGTCGGAAGGGCCGAAAGTACAGTTCCAAAGAAGAAAGGACCCTGCAATGGGAAGCATTTTTTCAGTCAGCCATCCACACACATACCATGGCTTAGAAGCTCCCCACCGCAACGCCGCAAAATATTGCTAGCATGGGCATGCTATTGAACCTTACTAGTCCATACTCGGCTTTACTGGGATTTGACATGAGAAGTTATTGCCAACAACGAAACAAATAAACACTAAACCTCACCCCTTACCCTCCACCGAGAAATCTTGAAGCAAAGGTCCCCCATGCCATAGGAGAAGTGCACAGGAGGCGCCCTTCACATCAAAAGCTTCTGGGCTTAAGTATGACAGAAGGCTCAGTGTCAGGGCCTGGGAAGTTCACAATACTCCCCAGGTCTGGGAGTGTACTCATGATATAGTATACTTCATGGTCAGGTTCCGGGGGGGGGGCTCATGGTATTCTTGAAGTCAGGGCCTACTGTACTTGAGGATACACGTACGAAGTCACGGCCTGGGGAGTTACATACTTCCATCTGGGGATGACGGAAATAATGCTAACAAGCCTCAAGGCCCCGAATATCACGCCAACGGAACATGCATGGCCTGAAAATTAAAAATGAAGGTCATTTTTGGGCCAGTCCCAGATATGCCACAATTTCGCGTGAGGTTGGATGAGGTTATCCTGATTTGCCTGGCTTCCTGGCTTGAATTAAGATTCATAAGCGGATTGGGGCTGAGGTCCCAAAAACTGCGGAACTTCATGAAATACTTACTGGTGCTTAGTATAGGGAATGTGGGAATATGTTATATGGGGATTATATTTCCTTATTCCGTATTCATTACCAGAAGAATATGCCGCTGAAGCAGGCAAAGGAAAGAGGCTAGGAGTGAACCCTACTTTCACTGGGCCGGACATGGCCCAATTGTGGGAAGACCATCACGGACCCCAAGCACTAAACCCTAAACCCTAGAC